GCCCCCCCCCCCCCCATGATGCCCCCCGCACACTGCTCCAATCAACAGCATTTTCTCTCCCTGGGCCGGGAGACCTGGGCCGCTGTGTTGGGTGTGAAAACTGTGGTCTGAACCCTCCAATGTGCTGCTGCACATAGTATGTATAAAAAAAACGACAAAGATATTTATTACTGTATATGCAGCCTGCCTGTATTACAATAACAAATTAATCAGGCTTTGAAGATTATACATTTATAAACTGATGTTTTATATTATGTTAATGTACATAGAATCTTTGTTTTACAGATAAACATTTAATACAGGTGTGATGATAATGAGCCCACAAACTGTATGGGGAGAATGTAGAAGTCCTACTGAATGTTGTGCCACCCCAATATTCCCCAAAATGTGCAAGTCAGTAACAGAAACGGTCATATTTAAATCTCATGTCTGTTGTGAACATCCAGGGAAAGTTACACATTTGTTAACCTACAGACCAGATGGAAGCAACTTTGATAGAAACAGTCCAAGCTAGAAGCAAAGCAGAGATGTTGTATACATTTATTAGCCAGGGCCTTTAAAAGACGTCCGATAAGTCCAGTCATAAAAGGCCAGGTCCTAAAACAGTCTGCAAAATAGTTTGAGGAATTTACATGTATGAGTCTGGCTTTTTTGAACCACTGAAGTCAAACTCCATTTATGCTTTTACCATAACTCCTGATGTAATGGAGCTACCCTCCTAAAAAGAGGTTACACATGTATCAGAAGATGCCAATCAGTTAGACACCAAACACACATATATTACAAGGTCCAGAAAGTGGATGGGACACATTCAAACTCCTAAGAGAGACATTCATAATATCCATATCATATTTAGTGTCTAACAAATTATAATTTAATTCTGTTAACCAGTTGACATCCGGGGTGTTAAACCCCCTTCCCATCCAGGCCATTTTTCAGTATTCAGCGCTGCGGTACTTTGACTGACATTTATTCCGTCATGCAGCGCTGTACTGAAATTAATTTTATACCCTTTTATACCCTAGAGCTTTATTTTGGTGGTATTTAATCACCACTGCGGGTTTTATTTTTTAATACATTAAGGAAAAACTACAGATTTAAAAAAAAAAAAAAACAGTTCCCCCTATATTAAATTCTAAAGCATTTATTATTACCAAATTTTTTGGTAAAATATAAAAGACGGGGTCACGTCTGGTAAAAAGACACCAAACATGTCAAGCCTTAAAATTGTGCATGCGCGCGAAACCTCAAAAAAACTACATTACCCAAAATTGGCCATAGGCGACGCATTAAAAGCTTTTACCGCTCATCAGTTTAGTGTTATCAGTGATTGATGGCCCTAAAATGATTGCTCTCACTGCGACGTTCGCTTCAATATGTAACATGTGTAGCGCAATTGTCATTTTCGCGCACTGGCGCATGCGACGCATATTTACGTTTA